ACTTACCTTCCTCTCTCTCTCTCTCTCTCTCTCCCTCTCTCTCTTTCTAATATTGATTAACATAAATGTTTGAGTTCAATTTATAACTTTATTAATTATTGCTAATTTAAACTATTTGAAAAACATTTTAGTTAAGAATCGATTGTCAAATGTTTATGACAAAATTGTTTCATTGCCACGAATTTATTACATTTAATAATTTCCATTTTAGACAACTAAATGTGAAAGAAAATTTGTGCATAAAAGACCTATTATGATGTTATTTTTTGGTTTAATTGGCTTTGGTATTGGTCGTTGTATGCCATGGTCACTTGGTGTACCATTGATCGATGACAGTTTTTCTAAAAAGAATCTTCCAGCATTTTTTGGTCAATTATTTGACCTTTACAGAATTTAATCAATAAATTATGGAATAGAAATAAATAATTTTAAATGATATTATACATTTGAAAATTCAAAATTATTTATCATTGCAATGTTTGAAAGATAGCAAAAAATGACATTTAAATTGACAATATTGTTATGTTTGCCTTTCACTTTTTTTTTTTTTTGGCTAATAGCATTCTAAATTAAACCTCTTAATATTGCATAATGATATACTTTAATTAATTCATTGAATGTCATCAAAATTGTTCAAAAAAAAATTAATGGAAATATTTTAGCTGGTATGAACTTTATTCGAATTCTAGGACCGGTATTTGGATTTTTGATCGGAAGTTTCTGTAGCAGTTTTTACTATACCCTAAAACGTATCTAATAAATGTTTTAAATTTACTATAATTATTTTTAAGGTTTTAAAGAGTTTGCAGTGAAAAGAGATTAGCATCTTTTACGTGTAAGATAATGAATTATATTGATTAAAAGTAAAAATCATGGAAGCATTGTTTCTTTTTTTTTTGATTGAAAGAATTTTAATTATTTGTAGGTAAGATTAATAAGCATTAATGTATGATAATTATCAAAAAAGTTTGTCTGCTTTCAAGAATTAACAAGATTTAGTAAATTACTGTGGTAAGATTTAAGATTTAAAGTATACAATTACTTTTAGCACCACCGGGTTTATCGGCAAAAGATCCAACTTGGATAGGCGCATGGTGGTTAGGATATTTGCTCATTGGTCTATTACTAATTATACCATCAACAGCATTGTACTTTTTTCCGGTCAGGTATAAAAATTTACATTTTTTATTTTTTTTGTTAGGGAGGGGGAGAGAGAGAGAGAGAGAGAAAATAAAATGGATAACAAAGAAAGCACCATTGATAACTTGAAGGATTGTGTTTGAAAAAGAAAGAAAAATAATTCCAGGAACAAATCTGAAATAATACCAAAACTTTTATCTGATACCACTAAAGATGACAATTCCATGGATAGAAATGAAATTAAAATGTCAATATTTGACAAGTATCATAATAATGATGCCATGGAAACATCATCGTCAATTTATGGCAAATTTCAAGGTTTGTAAATTGTCACATCGTTTACTCCAAGTATCATTAGCTTCATTAAAATATCAGCAAATGTTATGCGACTAGAAATTATTGTTACTTCCTGATTCTCAAAATTGTTATGATTAAATATTCATTCCATCAATGCATCAATGGAATTACTTGATTTTAACTTTGGATGATTTGTCAAAAGCTGGTGACACCTCAAAAATAATTGTTTGTTAAACTATTTTACTACATAAGATGTGACTCGGATGACATTTTTTAGATTAGAAAAAGATGAAAGATCATATTAATATTATTAATTTGCAATAAAACTTTGTAAAATGGGAAAAGCAAATTTGTTTGTTCCGTAAATTGAGTATAAGAAGGGAACGTTTTGTTTTTTTACCATACGCGTGGATTCGTTTGCAAAGTATTAGTATAGTATTTTAATGTAATAACATTATCGAAAAATCTAGTGAAGATAATCAACTTGAAATAGTGAATGTGAGATTGAAAGGTGACAATCACTGTTAATCAAGTGTTTCACAGTTACTTCAAGACAAAATTAAGATACATATGAAATGGTGACAATGACCTTTTCTACGTGTGGATTAACTAAAATATGTGAAAAATTAAACAACGAAATTTATTCTTTGGATGATACCTTTTTGGTAGTCAAATGAAATAATGGAAATATTGAATTTTGACATTGATTATCTAACGATTTACAAGTTGACGAAATCAATAAATAGTGGTGCTTAAAAATCACTGTCAACAAAGTAAATAATGGCATTGATTGATTATGGTGGCAGGAATATAATGAAACTATTGATCATTTTGATTAATGATAGTAGTAAGATGATATAAGATTAAAAGTAACAACATAGTTAGAGTCGAATGAGATAAGAAATTAGTAAACAAAAATATCTGAAATAAAACATCGACGAAATTTAAAGAATGGTTTAATTGAAGGGAAATTGTAAATGATTTTAATAGTTAAAATAATCATCGCAACATTATTTAATTATTCTAATTAGTAAAGTACTAATGGAATTATAGTAAAAATACCACAAAATAGCATTATTTGTTTTTATTATGAATTTTCATCATTAATATTTCAGCACTCTATAAAGCATATGGAGAAATATTACAATCGAAAATATTTATTGGTCTTTTAATAGCTCGAACATTTGATCTCTTAGCATTTCGTGGTTATATGGTTTTCTTGCCAAAATATCTCGAGATGCAATTTGGTATACCCCAATATAATGTACATATACTTATGGGTTAGTTCTTGAATTATTCATAAAAAAAAAAAAAAAAAGATCAATAAATTTTCAACTGAATGATATTAATGTTTTCCAAGATGATAATCTGAAAATAAGAAAGGATTGAATAAGATAATAGAAAGAATGAGAATTACAATATAATACTATTTTAATATTAAAAAGAAAAGAAAAAAAAATAGGATAGAAAATTTCAGACTTATCAAATGTCATAGTCGCTTGGAGTAAGAAACAAATTAGGAAAATAGTGAAATAAAGTTAAATTAAGGAATAAATTTTTAATAAAATATTGACTTGAATAAATTTTTTTTTCAAACATTCTTCGTTATTTTTTTTTTTTGCAATTTATTGGGTAAATAATTGTATCCTTATTTGCTGAGAAAATTAATTTATTGTAGCTATATTTTCTTGTCCCATTGTTTCATATTGTAGCTATACTTTCTTGTCCCATTATTTCATCTCAATTACTAAAAGATGAATAAATCTTTAGCATCCTTTGGTATATTTGGACTTGCAATTGGTGCAATAAGTGGTGGTATAATTATACGACGTCATAAATTTAGCGGTCGTGGTGCAGCAATATTAATTTTGGTCTTTTCTATTGTCAACATTGTTCTCTTCTTTAGTAAAGCCTTTTTTGGTTGCTATTCAACAGTAAGTATAATTGGTGCTAATGGCCGGTATGTATTATCATTAATTTGCAATACTTCTTAGTTATCCTATAATCTTTGAGAAGAAAATGACATTAATAAAAAAAGAAAAAAACAAAACGAACTATTCCTCATCCTTAATTTTTGATAAAATAGAGCTCTTCGTCTGATAATATTTCTTGATGTAACAGAATCCCTTATCCGCTAAAATGAAAGATAGGCAAGATAAAGTAATTTAGAGTCTCTTATAATGTACCGGTAGAAATAAGGAATTCCAGAAAGCAATAACTAAATTCATGGAATTAATTGTAATTCAATAAATATTATATATATTGAAAAGTTTTGATTCTTCCATGCATTTAGCTGGAAGAAACATAATATTTTGAAATTTATAAACTTCTCTTTTAAACACATTTTCAGGTCAACTAATTATAATTACACACAACCATGTAATGCAAATTGTGGTTGTCAATCAGCATCTCTATATCCGATTTGTGACAAATCCGGATATGCTTACTTCTCACCGTGTCACGCCGGATGTCGTGATGTTTGTTTGCATTTGTTCATTCATTTGTTGTTATCAGTTATTGGAAGGAGAAAAAAGACGAGAGTTAACTTTTCAAATGTTTCATTTCAGGTTAGGATAATCGATAGTATAAAGCATGAATTGGAATTTTCATCATGTGAATGCAAACCTGAAGAGGTGTTATCAAGGCGGAATTGTCAAGATGATTGTAATCTCAAAGCAATGCTTTTCTTCATTCTCATTATTATCGGATCATTTGCTATTGGCAATTGTCTGGTACCTGGAATGCTTTTACTTTTAAGGTTATCATTATGATCACTTTCTAAAGTTGAAGCATGAAGGAAGTCTAATTTACATGTATGAGAACTGAATAAGGCTTACTAATCTATTCCGATGTTTTTAGCTTCTGAACAGAGGAATCCAAATTTTCGTTGGAGTAGAAGGATTGATGGTTTCTGAAAAAGGAAATAGGGAAACTGATAGAAATAAGTCATTATCATGATTATCATCCTCAACAACCAAACAAATTATACATTGTTCTTTCTAATCACATATAAACATAACCTTAGATGAATAAGGTGAAACATTTAGGTCAGTACCACAGGTACACCGAAGTATTGCCCTCGGTTTCCAAGGTTTTGTGGTAAGTTTATTTGCCAGTCTACCGTCACCACTTATTTGGGGAACTATCGTGGATACCACTTGTTTGGTTTGGAGTTATACATGTCCTGAAGCTAAGGTATCTCTTTCTTTTTTGATTATGATTTCCTTTTCATTATCATAATTTGAATATTTGTATCAAAAAATAGGTCTATTTCAAAGCACTGGTTTCCTTTGAATTATCCTAAGTGACTGCATTAATCTTTGATAGATCCGACACTTTGTTCTATTAAACTTTTTTTTTTTAGGGCGCGTGCGTAATTTATGAACCAGTATTATTACGTCAACGATTACACTTCACGTACGTAGCTTTTCGTCTTGCATCAGTTGTAGCCGATCTTTATGTAATCAAACACGCCCGTGGTATAAATATTATCGATGTAGAGGATAATAGACAAAAAAATCCCAATGATATAATGGCAGCAAACGTAGCTGAACAATCAGTAAAATGTACCTTTTGCTAATAATGCAGTTATATACCGGATAAGGTATAGCATCAATTTGCCGGAACAAACACGTCCAAGCATATGGTTTACAATCGCATTCAGTGCAGTTTATCATCCCCCGGTGGAATTTGCTAAAACCTGTATACATCCTGGAATATATAGGTTATTGATTATGGAACTCCGGCGCAATGATGTCACTCTGTTGATTTAATATGAAACTATTCATAGCTACAAATAAATTAGCAATATCTTCTTGTAATATGACTAATTTACGACTTACATTAATTAGTTTGACAATTTATCGCACAATTCATAGTAAATTACTTCCATGAAGTGTGGATTTCATTTAAATAAAACCATTGATACAGTATTCACTTTCCCTCTCCCAGAGTTTGTCATCAGCGTAACATCGGACTGAGTGCGCCCTGCTCTATCCAATCAGTTCACAATCGTTGTTATTTTAATACAAAAAGCACTGATGCAACCTAATTCATTCGAATTTTCATTATCTACATTTTGATTTTACTAGCATATATGAAGGTCAATTTGAGCTGTTTCAAAATGTTGACTTTCAAAGTTCATTGACCGCTGCCCCGTTTCTCAGATTACTGCCATATGAAACACAGAAATACATATATCGTTTATGAAATCCTAATGCAGAGAACAGTAACACGATCAAAAAGTTCTGCATCAACAAACCTGCCGCAACAAAAAGATCAACAATATAAATAAATTAACAATTTCTTAATAGTCTAAATTCAAAATCCAGCAAATCTGACAATTTTATTCCATGGATACAATAGTAAAACTCCGAGAAGCTAAAGGAAATTTGTAATCACAAAATATGAAGTAACTAAGGATTATCTGAATGAAAATCCCATTTCTCCGCTACAGCATTTGTTCTTCCACATTATTTGGTTTTTTCTCTGCAACATTGTATTTAAATGAATTCCGGATCTTTAATTAAATTTTTTATCTAGCATTTTAAATTACTAGAAAAAATCTATGTACTAACTTCATTGAGTAAAATGTCTGATTTACCATTCCAAAATTAATTTTCCTGCATTTCCTACTGATACGATATCACAAATCCGATATGATGCTTAGAATCTTCATTATTCGTCAATATAATAAATAGTGGACCTTTGTAATCACAGAAAAATTATCAAAATAAATCTCGAATTCCTTACTTCCGTCTTGATGCAAGTATTCTCAATAAACGGTTTCCAGAAATAAATGTCATAGTGCCAACCACTGATAAATATTTCAACGTTTCAAACATAGTTAACTGTAGCCAGAAAACAAAGTATAACCCGAATATTCCTTCAAAATAATTATATAGCAAGGTATTATAACATTAAAGTAATCGGAAAGTACTGTAAGTTACAAAAATGATTTCCAATAATCGTCAAAATAAAGACAATAAAGCTCATTGAAACACATACTACAATGGACTGAAAATCAAAGTAAGGTGGGTACCATCCTACAAAAAAAATAAATATAATCTAAGTTAATCGGGAGGGTATCTGAATGTCCCTTATTAATGGGAACAAACAAAGAACAATCTACTTTAGGCTAAAAAGCCAAAACAATATAAGCTAGACTTTTTGGGCGAGCAAATATCGTTAGTATTTATGGCACACGAGAGTAGAAACAACTCTAAAGGATTTGTCGAACTCGTAGTACCAAGTTTCGATCGAATCTAGATCATTATTACCTAATGGTTTCAATTATAGAAGAAAATATTTAAACTTACCTATTAAACCACCATGGAAAAGCAAAACGAAGGGAGACGCTGGCAAATTTCCAAAATTGATTCCAATGCGTAACCACTGAAATTTTTCAAAAATTAAAATTGCATTTGAGATATTAATTTAACACCACCAACAAAAAGTTCCAAATATTCAATGACTGCAACATACCAAAATAAGGACAATGAGCAATGGAAATGCAGAGAGGAAAACAAAAATAGTTGAGACAATCCGTGGAGGCCGCTTTTCTGGTTCTCGAAACATATGCTTGATTTCTGGTGCTTTTTCGTAAATAACACGTTCGGACTTTTTGATTTTTGAAGCAGCTGCTGCAGGAAGTTTCAGGTTAATATCCACCTGCAAAAGCATTGAAGTAAATACGGACAGAATTCGTAGCTGTTAAAAATGATGGCATTCCTATTAATTCAATTAAATTATCAACGTTCCGGCAAATGCCGAGTTTTACGTCTAACAAATATAATATACATTTCACTAAAATTTTACATTCATACCAAGTTCCAGTCCAATGCATGCGATATTGCCGAATCACCCACTACCAGCCGTACCGCATATCGACCTGATAAACCTTCAAAATCTTTTGCAGCTTTCTCGAAATCCTAAAAATTCAAGCGGTAATTTGTAGGATATTTGTCGGGTATCGCATGAACCTCCTTAATGAGAATAGATAACTGTGTTCGACACAGTAACATAAAGCTTGATATAAAAAAGATCCAGTTAATCCAAGAAAAAAAGAAACTCAATTAATCATACCACGTCAAATATGTAATTGTGGTTGTGGTCCGGTGTGGCAACAAAGATAATTTCTTGACGAGTGTTACTATGAACAAATATTACGAACGCCTGATGAACCAATATTGCTTCATCAGTTTTTGCTTCTTTAACTTTAAATTTGATCTCCATCTTGCTGTGCACGTCGGCTTCCAGAGTTTTCCCAATCTTTGAACTCTCTTTAACACTGAAAAAATGAATGTACTTCTAATTCCATCCTTCCCAAGCTATACCAGTTTTCGTTTTTTAACAGACTAATTTTAAAATAAGGAGAAAGTGTCCATCCAATCTTATTCCCCAGAAAGAACTGAATTCATAAATTTGAACTCAAGTTTAATTTAAAGCTAATTCGCCAACAATAACGAAACATAGGAAATCTAGGAATGAATCTAAACACAGTAACTAAACAACCTGGTCCAGCATTTTGGCACTTACGAGATAGATGACGACGGTTTCGAAAGTTCCCGATCGAACACCGCCACTGTGACATCTTCGACACGCACTTTTACAAGTACTCTCGTCACCAGTGATGCACCATTTGTTCCAACCAAACGTTTATCCTGCAGTGGTATAAATAAAACAGTCTAATGCACTTTGGAAAAAAAAAGCATCAATAATTAAACGTCCACAGAACCAAAATCAAGGGGAATGTGCACTTCTTTACTAAAATGTAGTTTCCTAAAAAGACATCATTTTCTAAAATTCCAGAATATGCTTACGATGTTCACACTAAGTTTTCCCATTTAAATCTTTCATTTTAATAACTCTATTGTATAACATGAAACATTACCTGACTTCCTGCGGTTAGGGCAAGATTATAAAATCCACGTTGTTTGGCATTTTTAACATGCACTTCATACAACGTATTAGTTTTATCAGATGCAACTGCTTTCAACTGTTGTCGTACAACCACAACTTCTTTAGAAGCTATATGTGTCGCTGCATCCAAAATCACTGACAATGGGCCAACCGATTCACCTAATACGTTCGAAACACGAATTACCAAAGGCTGCAATGAATTTTCATTGTAAATAAGCAACTTAGATAAGGAGATGGTAGAAGCCCAATAACACTGTTGTATATCAAAAAATTGAAGCAACTTCTATTTCTTTTCGAAAATTTTCTATTACTAAACATAACAAAAATATGCTGTAAGTTTGAAGATATGAATATGGTAATGAAAAAAATTTTCGAAAATGCAACTTTGACAGACAGGTAATCAGTTTATGATAACCTTATACTTATGAAGCTCCTGCATCTCTCGTCCTGGAAAAAATTATCATCGCAAAAAAATTTAATGTGAAATGAACTCACTTTCGTATCCAGTAAGGACATGCTTGATGCCAAAGAAAAGACAACTGGAATTTGGAAATGGTTATTCGCAAGCTTCTTCAATGTCAGCAGTAGGAGATAGGCACCACGATCCAACTGTACAGTTCTACGACTAAGCAAATAATTTGCTAATTTCACCGCTTCGTCCTAAACTTCGTCCTTAAGCATATGAATTTCAATTTTGAGCCCATATTTTTTAGCGACTGGAGTTGAGTTACGATTCCGAATTATCTTTATGGAAATTGCGCACAAACGATAACGACATTTAATACTTTCTCGTTTTGTTGGTGTTTAAATAAAAACTAACGCTTTTTACACTTGGTGACTTGTTAAGTTTATCAGCTAGATTGTAAATTCCATAAACGCCAAAAGCAGTGATTGATAAGCCGCCTTCCAACTGCAATGGTTTGATGTCATTGAATTTATTCACTTTTTCAGTGGAATTTTTTATTCCTTTCCCTCATCTAGCCTCACATTTATCGATTTCGTTACCAAAAACCGACAAGTAAAGTTCTGGAACTTACTTGAAGATACTTGCCATCCACTTCATCCGCCTGACCAACCAAATCCTCGACACGTATGAAGTACTTTTCGGCATTGGTATTATCCAACAAAGCTGCCGCATTTAACCCATATGCAAGACTAAAAACATGATCTGATACAATAAAACTAGAACAACTAAAACGCAAGATATAATATTAGTTCAACACCTCTCTAAGAGAAAAAAAAAACTAAATATTTAAAAAAAAAACAAAACAGAATCACTGAATAAATTTCAAAGGTCCAAGCTGACATTTTAAGGACTTAATTTTTCAATTCACAAAAATAGTATCATGAATAAATTAGGTCGAGCCAGCGAATGATTAACTAACAGATACATGTATCTGTTAGGTAAGCTGTAGAAGTGGTAACACCAAATTAATATTACATGCTATATCGAAGTCAAAAGTAACCTAGAAGCACCATCATCTTTTGCCAATGCAACAGTTAAGGCTTTGGCAAAACCATTATAGTCTGCTTTCAATTTCAATTTTTCGGCAACAGCAAGCGCCAAATATATGTCACGAGAAGTTGGGGAATTTTCTTTTAACACTGCTTCGACAGTTTCTTTAGCATTCGGTACGGAAAGCGTACAATCTTTTAGAGCAGCCGCAGCGCTAACTGCGTGATATAGTTGTTCTAATTTCTCAGCATTTACTTTTCGAACTGTACCGCAGAGAGCCTATAAATTGTACAAGCCTTACTAGATACTCATATAAAAAGTTAAATATCAGAAGACGAAAATGAATAAACACTTCTATCAAATTTCTTAAAATACACGAATTATGAAAAAAAAGACGATGAATCAGCATTTCTGAATTACCTTATTCTTACCAGCTTCAATCGGAATACCCGCAAGTTTCAAACCAGCTGCACCATGATGTATAGCGGATAACTCCTGGAATGATCTAAGAATATATATATATATATATATATTGGCACTGCAAACAAAATATTATTAACTTGGACTTTCTAATCACAAGCTGATGATATCATAACAATATGGAGCATTATAGTCAAACCAATATGAAGATCATCGTCAATGTAGTGGTTACAAGGTTGCAATCCGAACTCGCTTTAGCTATTTTGAAAGTTCAGACAACTAGTTAGTTTACGAGCACAGTTCACAGTCTTCTTAGTTTATTATTACGAGATGCCCGTCCTCATCATTAAATCCTCCCCGCTTATAAGGTCTCAACTATCAAATACAAACATCTAAATCGCCTTGCCTTCAGAGGTAAGGATCTCTATACCATGTGCATATTATGATGCGCTTACAAAGTAAAGGTGATATTTCACGATTTCGTAGTTTGGAAATTTAAATTTAAGTTTAAAAAGATTTAAAAAATCAAACGTTGCTATCAAGAGCATTGATTAGAACAGCGTGTAACGACTTCTGACTTTGTTCATCCAAATAAACATTCAAAAATGGTGTACCACATTCAACCACAAAAAGAAATAAGGATAAATTGATAAGCGATGCATACCAAATTCGTCTTGTCCCCATCAAAATTCTATAATTCGAATGTTTTCTTTTCGAAAATTTCGAAATTTCAAACAATACCTAGTGATCATTGGGCAAATTCTTTCTGAAATCTCGGGATTTCAGTTTTACAGATGAAAATTTCGATTCAACATTTTAAATAGTCTAAATAGTCTTAAATAGCTTTAAATAACCTTAAAGTCTAAAATTTTGTTAAAGATTTCCGAATTCAAAGTCAAACTTCGATATTAAGTCACATAAGTTCCAGTCTACACATACTAAGCTAAGGACGAAATTTGAAAAATCAACGAGATACATACCCCTTCGCCAACAATACTACGTGTCTCAGTACCACTATGTTTAATGCATAATGAAAGTGACCTCACTATGCAATTACGTTATTTCATGGTAATTTTTTTTCCAAAAAATTTATCATCACCTGTTGAAACATCCGTAATTTCTAAGCTAATTAAGTCTTTTAATACCAAATTCAAAACCTTACTCCAGTCTTTGTTAGAAATTTTAATCCTAAATGACTCGTCATTACAGCTCAGAAAAGTAGTACTTACCGGGAAACTCCAAATTGTTAAATTATGTTAAAAATTGAAAACTTAGTTATAACTTGAAATTATATTTATTTTTGTTTTTGCTAATATTTCAGTTATGGATCAAAAGAGTAGTTGAAAAAAAAATGAAATGATAAGTTTAAATAAAATTTTTACTCATTTCATTTGAAAAAATTTTATTTCAAATTTGAAAGTTTTACACGAACAAATAATCAACTTCTTCAGTCTAAAACATCAAAAGGATCAATGATCAAGTGATTCATAGAATCAATGATCAAATGATTCACTGTACAAATTCGCATAGAATTGCATAGAACTTTACTTCTCCCATATTTTTAAATCAAATTTGACGAATTAGTAGTACTATGAAAGGAATGGGATTGTTTCGATCAAGTGATCTTTCACCTTCATTCATCTGTGTTTTTCATTTATCTCAAAGAGTAATATTTTAAAAAATTAAAAAGTTTTTTATTTTAAATTTGTCGTAATGATACAAAAGAAATGCTAAAAAAGTCTTCATTCTTCCTCATAATTTTCCTCGAAAAGTTGGCAAAAAAAAACTTGAAAGAGTTTTAAGTTTCCATAAAATTTAAATTTTTAAATTATTTTTAGCAAAAAGGAAATGAAAATGCTTACTTTTTGGAGAAATTTCATCTTTTTTTTCCCTTTTTTTTGCTGACCATTGAACTTTCTGAATGAAAAAAAAATTTTGGCTTTTCTTAGGAAATGGGAAATGTCACACGAAAGATGTCACAAAGTTTGACAAGAGTTTCTTATCTGTTACAACATCTTCAAATTACTTAAAGCAGTTGTTTCCCAATGAAATACAATATCTTTCCTCGTTCCTCTCTGGATAAGTTCATTATTTCGATACTTCTTGTATGACAGAAAGGTTGTTGAGAGAGATAAGCTCTGTAAAATTTTTAAACTAAAGAGCTAATCTAATCTATATGATTCTATTACTACTACTACTACTATTATATACTTTCGTGTATAATTCCCATTGCTCGAATGAAGTAATGGAAATTGGTAGTGATATCAATGAGGAATTGAATTCGACTTTTACAAGGTTTTCATCAAACTACTCATTTCTTTTTTTTTTTGAAATTTATTTAAGAAATTATTCAAATTATACTTCATTTGGTGACAAGTGAAGTGACAACGGTTGAATGATGCTAAAATAAAACACAAAACATTTCCGGATATTTTGACAAATAAATATAAAATGTTACGGTGGAATTAGATAACGGTTGAATAATGTATGATATAAGAAATAAAGCATTTTCGGATATTTTGACAAATAAATGTAAGATGTTATGGTGGAATTAGACGATAGGTAAATTGAAAATAATCCATAATGTTTTGAGAATTGATATTATAAGATCGAAGATCAGGTATAACTAACAAATATTACCGGGAATACATTATTCATTAAGAGATAATTCTGGTAATTTTGTTTTTTTT